GGGGGGGGGTTGGGTGCTGAGGGGGCTGCAGCACCCCCATCTGCGAGGCTCCACTTTCCAGAGTTTTACTCGCTACAGGGTGTACTTTGAGGGTTTGTGACTCTGCAGACCGTTTACTTGCATAAAAACCTTCATAACACACAAGGGGAAGGGTAATAGCCTGAATAGCATGACACAGCCTCTTGACACCCTATGCTGATAGTTAAAAGCTAATCATAGTAGGCTAATAAGTTGGTAAGATAATAGTTAGCAGGTAATGCAACCTTACTCAGCAGCAGTTACATTAACAAGGCGAATTCTGAATGAGAGTTTGAAATCACCTTAAACTGTCTCTCCAGATGTGTGCGCCCGCTCCTCCCTGGTGTCCTGATGTTGTGGAAGTAGCTGTGAAGCTGGCTCGCTGCCACCTCAGTCTCCTTCCCCAGAATGGCTTCCATCAAGGCATCGTGGGTGAAGACGTACTGCTCCTGGATCAGCCAAACGGTGAGAAAAAGACCTTTAGAGGCTCGTCTGTTTGACAGGCCCAAACCATACGTTTGCATTCCAATATCAATTTTGAAATAATACAAGTATGAGTTACAGCCCTTTTGGGGATTTTCTTAAGAAATGAATGTTCAACAAAGAAGAAATGAACTCTCTTTCCTGTGCAAACGGTTGAAAAAAGTGATATGATTCATCAGCCTAACCAACCACACATGCATTCCAAACATACACCCTCCTGAAAGATGCAAGAGGAGTCAGTTAAAGTTATATTAACAATGTGTTTACAATGATTGGGTCAAACAAAGTCGTTTTTGTGCACTCAAACAGTCCGTGAAAGATGGCCAATAGTAATTTCCTGCATGTGTGACAGTGCCTTCATGACTTCCAGTTGACTTTCTCCATGTTGGTCCTCGCATGGCCTGTCTTCTATTGAATCGGTCTGTTGAGTTTTTACAAAGATAACTTTTGCAGGGTGTAACGTTTCCATGTATTGGGTATGTACATTGATGTTAACCACTGATTAAATTCTAAACATGATCCTCTGGCATTTATTCATTACACCTTAATGTCCACTTGAGAACAAAAATGTGAAACACTTGGTTACCATAATTAGGCCTGTATTATAAACATGAAGGATGGATGGAGCATGGGGTACCGGGCAAGCAGAAACCTGTTAGTGCTGCTTTACCTGAGATAAGTCTAACAAACATTTCTCAGACACACACAGATACACACCTCAGTCTGGACTAGGTAGTTGCGCTGGGTACGAATGTGTTTGAGGAAGCCAAGAACATTCACTGTGCTCTTGTCTCTGATCTGCCGTAGCATGCTGTCCAGCACCATGTAGGTCCCGGTCCGACCCACTCCAGCACTGCAGCACAAACCAGGCCAAAGACATGAAAAATGTATATTCTCATTACGCATTTAATTCACTGTTGTTATTATGTAAGGGTCTACATCAAAGATAAACACCTTTAAATGAAACAAAAAATTGAAAAATAGAAACGTACTTCTTATAAAATATATATTTCCCAAATTGCTATTAAGCAAAAAAAAACACAAATTATTGGAAGTCCAGATATAGGAATGCTCAGTGGCTCACAGTCTTCATGGTGTAATTATCCTGTCACGTCAGACTGTGAATGTTTCAGGATGTTGTCATTTGTCCGCAGACATAACCGTGACTTAAATATCACCATACCTATTTTGTTCTGCATTCTCTTTCGAACTTGCTATGCTACTGGAAGCAAATGTTTTATTTTCCCTGCGATATCATACATGAAGTTAACGGGAGGCAAGTACTCGCCATTTTTATTTTTACGCATGTGTGACTGTGCCGTCAAGCCTCCCAGAAGACTTTTCTTTCATTTTGGGCATCCATTATTCTTAAAGACATGGTAGCCTTGTTGGCATGTGTACTCTCACATTGAAATGTAATCAGAATGATGAACACATAGACTACTCTCAGATTCAGGGCTTCCTGTTTCCTCCAGAGCAGCAGAGTGAACGTGAGTGTGTGTATGTGTTCTTTTTTTCCTGAACGGGAGGATGTGTGTGTGTATTTGCCAGTACAAATGGTAATAATGAGTGGTGCGTCTGCAGCCACAGCGCGAGGCAGTGTGACACGTTATTATCGACGCTCACAGACGATAGCAGAGCGCTTCATAATGAATCCCCCGGGGCCACAGTCAGCGGAAAATTACCAGCAACTTCCCCTCCTGCCTTACTGTAAAATGCCCTAAATACAAGCTTGCAACTGTGACAGCAGGTTCAATAAAGCTGTTTGGATATGCAGTCGTTGCAAAAGGCCCTACAAAAAGTGCTTTATTAAAAGTAAATCAAGGATGAAATTAATGCCTCTGTTCACAATAATCCAAAATACCTTAAATTAAAGTGTACAACTACAAAATAAAATAGTCAAAATGACTGCACACACTATGAAAAGGGATCAACAGTTAATAACTCTGGTGAAAGATTGATGAGTGGTGGAGGGGGTACAGTCAGTACAGTGGGGTGTAAATCAGTACCTGCAGTGGACCAGCATGGGTCCCATGTCAGGCAGCTGTGCAGCGGAGGACCTGCGGACAAAGGTGAGGATGGGCAGGGTGTACTCCGGGACCCCCATGTCGGGCCACTGGGTGTAATGATACTGAAACACCGTCCGCTCACTCTGCGCCCGCATTTTCCCGCTCCCCTTCCCACCCTGCATGGTGATAAGAAGCAAAGAGAGGAGGAAGGCATCAAAGCTTTGAACGTATCAAACTGCGGGAGGGACAAAAAAAAAAGAACAATTAGATAACCTCTAAAATATGTTACAGTTTTTTTCAATTAACCACAAACCTTTTAAAGTAGATTAAAATATGTAAAGGTTTTACTAGCCTATGAACAAACTACAGCATAGTTTTGGCAGTAAACGTCTTGCATACAGCGCAAGATAGGATTTACTTAGGATATAAAGAAATAAAGATTGCGATTCAAATGGGGCAAGTCAAATGCAGGAATAATAAAGTATGTACTGTACAATAGGATGGAACTAGAGAATGCAATTCCCGAAGAAATTGCTAGTGGAAATGCTTTATGCTGAACTGCTATGCTTAAATGTAATGTGTAAGAAGACAGTGAAGAATTTAGATTGAAATGATACATGAACACTGGGGGCTTGAATGTGTGATAAGAGAATAAAAGGAGGTAAAAAGAGCAAACTTTGAACTAACTTGATGGCGAATGATCTGTCGCCATGGCAACGGTATTTGATGACATCCCATAATACGCTTAGATGTGTTGATGGCTGCATTGTTACCAAACCTGTGAAGTTTTGGGCTGTTTGGAGCATTTTCACTGAAGTTATGAGAAAACCGTGTTTCATAGCGAGCATTATGTTGCCATGTCAACTGAATTTGAAGAAATCTCAAAACTGTCACTTAGATGTCTTCACAGCTGGACTGTTAGCACACATGTGAAGTTTGAGCACTGTGACGACCCCTCCACACCATGTGGGGTGCCGTCTGGTTGTGTGTGTGTTTGTGTTTGCAGGTTCCATTGCCTGACGAGCTGCACCTGTGTGACGAGCTGCATAAACCTTGATGAGCTACACCTGGCCGGAAGCCTTCAATAAAGAGCCCAGCCGGATACGTCGCTGTCTGTCTCCTCTGGGCACTTTCCCCGTGCCAGCGTCAGGGACCTGTAGCTGGTTCCGTTTGTTTGTTTGTTTGTTATGAATAAACGAACATTATATTATAATAATAATAATAATAATAATAATAATAATAGATTTTATTTGTTAGCGCTTTTACAGGTGCTCAAAGACGCTTTACAGATAATAGTGAAGAGAAAAGAAAAGAGAAGAAAGGAACAACAAGTAAATATATAGTTAAAGTTAAAGTCAAATAATACAAAACCAATCACACATTAAAAGCCAGATTGAAGAGGTGAGTTTTTGTGAGTTTTTTGAAGGTGGTGAGGTCGGTGCAGTCTCTGATGGGTTGTGGGAGTGAGTTCCAGAGGGAGGGGGCAGCGACGGAGAAGGCTCTGTCCCTAACTCCCCTTGAAGGCGAAAAGACGAATTAGGTGTGTGTGGTACGCCGCTGGTTGTTTTTCAGTCCTTATTGGCGGTATTAGCATAGAGTGGACTGGAGAAGTGGGACGAGGTCTGAGGAGGACACGTGCCCGAGTGTCCTCGTTCGGATGGGTTGTGAGGTCTGTCGTGAACCGTAAGAGGAAGACGCAATTGCCTACCCACTTCACAGAGAGGTTTTAGAAATGGCGTGCGACTATAGTTGAAGGGTGGTTACTGTCATAGGCCAACTGTGGGGTTTAACGTCTTTTTGTCACCCAGGGAAGGTGGGTGCGTACCGAGTAATTAGACGACTGGTCCCTCTCTACTGTTCCATTCCCATGGTGTCTGTGTCGTGTTCGTCGTCTCAATTTCGACCGGGTCTGTCAAGGGGGACGATCGGAATCGAGAAACCTGTCAGGTCGGAAGGGTCACGGGAGAGAGGGACGTCTTTACTGTCTAAAGGGCTTAGTGGGACAACCGACTGGAGCGTAGAGTGCGAGTCCAAATGGGGTCACGCCTAATCAAAGAGAAGGGTAGCAGGGACGACGTGCTTGTGTATGGTCGAAGGTAGGACCGGGGACTTTTTTTTTTTGTGAGCTCGGCGGGGACACGCATAATCTAGTATTCAGGTAGTCGTCACGTCGGTGAAATCGTCGCAATAGAAAGAATCGCGATTCGACTACATTTGGCGTTACAACACACTACCCATGTCTTAAAAAATTAACGAGGTTGTGGGTAGTGAGTGTATGACGTCATATGCAAACACTCTGTAAGTTCCTAAATGTGGTGGGATGACTTGTTTCCATGTGTGTCTGTACTCGTTGAGTTGTATCTTGTCTGTGTGTTGATCTCTCGAGGTTTGCTTTTCTGGTACTTGTAGACAGCTATTCGGTAGTCCCTGGGTGAGCATTCGGAAGTTGTGTCGTCAAAAATTGGTAATCAATTGTGAAAATGACAGGCGGTGGCAATTTCGTCTTATCGAAGGACCCGGGTTAGGACAATTCGGTGTGGACGTCGTTATTCCACGATAATCGTAGGACTGGTGAGAGGACGAGAGTCCGGTGTTGGAGTTATTCCTCTTTTTAACATAGTACCTAGGGCGAGTAACTTAACTTCCGTTGTTGGGCGTCTAATGCCGTTGCAGTTTACCAATCGAGATGGTTCCCTTTAATTTCCTGACTGCACGTGGTGGTGTCCTTTTGGTTGAGGCGAGGCGTTGAGTTCGGAAATTAAAGATGGACGTTTTTTCATTGTCAGAAAAGAGACAAGTTGGTGTCAGTCCAGACATAGTGGCCGTCGGGTCGTACAACTGTGACAGAGACGGTCCTAGTTGTTCATATAAAGGGGAAACTTTGGTCGATTGCGATTGTCTAACGAGATTGTTCAGGGAATACAAAAGGAAGTAAGGAAAATAGGTGTTTAGGTCGCCTTTACAAGTCGTTGTGTCTAGTCGACGACGTGCACTCTTCGGGAGGTCATTCGAGGAGACATCCGCGAGAGTGTTTGACGGAGGGTTGTAGAGCCTTTTTTTTTGGTTGTGGGGTGTAGACGGGGTCCCCGGCGAGTGGAGTAGTGTCGGATGTGAGATGGCGCCGTGCGTAGGGTGTCATTGACTCGATTGTATGTGGGCGATCAAAAGTCTCTTGTATCAATATCTCGCCTCATGATATGTCTTGTGTATATGGTCATTCGAGCCACTTCGCTTTTGCTTTTTGCGTTGAGGTTTTTTTTGGTGGACGTCGGGACGCGCATCGTAGTGTCTGTTTTTTTTTTGTATGTGTGTTATATATGTGTGTGGATTTGTTTGGGGGTGGTATTGCTGAGTGGTTCCTCGGGTGTTTTCCCTGTTATGGTTGCCAGCGCTGTACTGGTTCGCTGTTATATATATAAACTCCCTCCTCGTGGTGTTATTGAGCGTTATAGTTTGGTGTCGAGTGATATGTATGTTTTATGTTATTGTGTGTTTCTCTCTGTGTAAGTGTGTTTGTTCGCGTGTGCAAAAATATTATATAGGTGGTTATAATATTGATTGTATAATTTCGCTGTAGGTGTACCTGTGTCCTAAATTTGGTGCTCGGGGGTTATATATATTGGTGGCCGAGGACCCGACGTTTATTCGTCCCTCTTTCCGTCTTTCTGTTCCTCTCTCCTAATTATGTGCTGTGTCATTATATTTTTATTTGTCGTTGTTGGTCGTATTATAAATTGAGTGGTGTCTGGTGTGATAGTAGTATGTATATCGTTCCGTTGTGTAACTGTAGGTGTATGTATATTGTGTAATGTCTGGAGTGGCGTTTCGATAAGTCTGTGTATTTGTGTGTGTGGATCTGATCCTGAGGGTGGTAGCCTAGTATGTGTATTTTTGTTGTATAATTCTCCCCCCCCCCCTGTTTTGACCGTGAGGGTAAAACCGCTGTGATGGAAGGCCTCTGTCTGTGTCAAAAAATTTTGTTGACGTGTGTTAGTGTTATGTGACGAGGAGTAAACTGTTCCTCTATTTGGTGTCCCTAACTAGAACTCTTGGTTGAGGAGAAAGTAAGGAAGGTTATGGATTGTTGTGTGTAATATTATCCGTTAAGTTCCCGTGTTGGGAAGGTTAAAGTGACGATCTGTGTTTTCTGTATGTGAAAAAATGTAGTTGTTTTGGTATGGTGGAGTTGTTGTGTAGGTGTAGAGTGGTTTGACCAGTTGAGGTTCTTTATTTTTTTGTAAATTCTCCTCCTGTTGGGTTGTAGTTGTGACTTGTCACGTTTTGCTGGGTTTGTTGTGTGTAGTTATATCCCCTCTCGTTGTGTTTGTTTTGTGTGTTGTGTAGGGCATAGTTTCTTGTAGGTCTTAAGTTGAAGTGGTAACTGTCGGTGTGAGATAGGAGGGGGGGAGTGTAGGCGTTGGAAAGCCTCATAAAAGTTGTCAGGTCTAGTTAAGTTGCTGGGTGTTATTTAGTGTAGGTGGTACTGGCGGATAAAAGGTGGACATTTTTGTAACGGGCAGGAGGCGGGGTACGGTAGAGGGAGGAGACGACGACTTTTGGGACTAAGTACGTAAGTAGTGAGTGACTGAGCAGATGACGTTTATCGTAGGAGATACCGTATTGGTAGGTGGAGGGAGACGACGGGCGGAGGAGCGGTGTGGGCGAGTGCTCTGGTGTAGTGAGGGTAGGAGGTCTTGGAGGTGTACCGGAGGGGCAGCAGTTTCATAGGTGATAGTGTCACTACCACCTTTACTGATTCTCCTGTTTTCATTGGGCAGCGTACAGCCATGTTCGGCCAGGGACCGAATGGTAACGTCTGGACGAGTTGGTCGTGTCCGGCGGAAAGGCGACGGAGGCGAGTAGTCTTCGGTTGGAGGATAGGTAGGAGGTGGGCGTGGTAGTG